ACAAATATAATATACATGACCAGCAAAAATGTTTTGAAGTACAATGCAAAATGTAAGGACCAGCACATACCATTCTCTTGTTGTTTTGGCTTTCTTGCATGAGCTGGCCTATCTTTGTTTGTCGTGCTCATTTCCTGATTTCCCACCCCACCAGCTAAATGGTTTTCATCCGCATGTTCTTCCAATAATGACACTGGAAAAAAATAAATCAGCATGTGTCAATTATTTTATTGAATGCACAAGAGCTGGTAATATATTTGATGACATGATGAAAGCAGTTTAATGACGCATATGTCAACGACGGCCTGTATGCCTTAGCCATTCCTTGTATGTTTCAATTGTTTCATCCCTGAAGTTATCCATGTAGTCTGTGAGTCATGATTAACAAGATGTACTTGTCAAAGCAACAATGTGTTATAACAATTTGAATGAGTGATGCAAAGAATGATCTTACCTATGTCTGGATCTTTGGCTCGCAATTTTGCTAGCCACACCTTGTAGGCATCAAGGTGTTCATCTGTACCTGATTGATTATGTTTTTGCTTCCCCCCATGTCTCCTAATGGGTGTTATGCTGACATTTTCCTCCAGTTCCGGCTCCCTTGACAATACCAACCTGATTTCCTTATCCGCGGCATTGTCCTGTAGTATTGTTTCTGAGTGGTGTAAATATTCGATGGGCTCAAGTCTAGCTACATCCCCGCCACAACGCTTCTTGTAGTATAAGAAGTCCCTGGCTCCATATCCAAGCTGTTCTTTGAAATGTACCAGGTTAAAATATGAGATCTAAGCTCTATCCATATCAGCGGAGATGAATTCATCTTCCTCAGGTCTCCCCTTGCATTGGAAATGAATTGTCCACATGTCACCTGTCATTGGTTCACTGTGTGCATATAGAGAGCAGAAAAACATCAAAGTGTGTGCATAGCATAATCACTGAGTATATATATATTAGGAGTAAAACATCATTGTGTGGTGTAAGATATTACTCTTACTGGAATTCAACAAAATTAGCAAAACGTGATTGCAAAACAAGAGGCAATATTTTTCTCATTATGATGAGACTTTGATTAATAATTTCTCTATTAGTGTGTTGCTGTATATGTACCCCCTTGCACCTATACGATAGATTAAACGGCATGTGTACTTAATAAATTTGCAGAAATTTGTTTGTTGAAAAAAAAAATTAGCAGAAATTTGGAGGACATGAGCGCTTGGTAGATGGCATATAAAATGTTTCTAATTGTATATTATGCACCTTTCAGTTTGGCATTGGCCATTCCCTACCATCTCCCATCCATCTTTACTTTCACCGTTCAGAGGGTGCACACTGCTAACTGAAGAATAGCTAATGTACTTCTGAAGTTGTAGATGGCATTTCTACAATCTGCTCGAATGCACTAGTGTGCTACCATGGTGGTTAGCGGAAATTGGTTGGTGACCGGCAAGGAAAACATAGAGGAAGTCTTGAATGCTTCTCCCCATCATCTCCCTCCCCCACTTTGTCTGTGTATATGCAGCAAATTAATTTTCCTTTGCAGTGCTGCGTTGGCTTCTTTGAAATTGCCTGACTACAAATTCAACCATGTATATGTGGATCTATATATGGCTGTGAATTTTCTTTTAAAATCAAGATGGATGTGTGCAATTATATGACCCAATGATTAAATGACTATCCTACAGATCATGGATGAATGGTGTTGATTGGAATTTTTATTCAATCTATTACTTTTGAACTTTCAGGTGTGCAATTGGCAGGGACAACAAAAGTGCAGATTTGGTGGTGCCTAACATCTTCCTGAACGCATTGGCTTCAGATTTGCAGGTATAGGTACAGGTATAGGTATACTCATTGAGAAGTTAAAAATGATTAACGGGTATGTACTAACCAATCACCACATGGAATCTGTACGAACCAGGAATACTAAGATAGGTACTTACTAATCAACGATTCTAGCAACATCCAAAAAGGAAATATAAATGTCACTGTATGTACTTGGTGTAGAGAAAACATAGTATTCTCCCAGATCCATCATTGCCGTGTGTGTCATCATCTTGTTCTTGGACGATGGCTTCATTAGGAGGACAGCGCCTCTCTTGTGAAGCAGACGACGGTGGATCATCTAGCGTGGAAGATGGAGGCGCAGACGAAGGAGGCGGCATCATGCCGCGCTTGCGTAAGGTGTTGGAGGAGCCAGTCCACCATCATGGTCGTGTCTATCGATCGAGCGCTAGTCTCCTTGCCTAGCGTGAAAGGGATACCAGTATATGACCCCCGGCCCCCACGGTCGATTTTAGGAAACTAATAACGCGAATGGCCTGGGTGGGGATTGTGTGCCGTGATTATTGGATCTAATTCTACTGACGTGGGCGTTTTGGCGGGCATGTCCGAAAATTGAATGATGGAGTACCGTGTGTGGGTGTGGGGTGGGGTGGGGGAACCAATAAAATATACACGCCAGGCCTTCTGATGGAGCCCGGTACACTAAAATTAACTTGCATCTCTAAAAAACAAAAATTAACTTGCAGGTCCACTAACGAGTCCTATTGAACAATGCCTGAATGAATTTGAAAATAGATTAGGGTTTCCAATGCAAAATCGTTCAGCTTTCAGTTATTTTATTATAAAATGATCAAATTCTCAAAGCCTAATAAAAAATAAAATATACTGCAAATAAAAAAATATCTACTTTTTTAATGCAAGATACAAGTGCATGTATGTTTTTTGTTTGGAAATAGCACAAAATCTAGCTAAGCACATTGACTTTAAATTGGTACATACCCAACAGCACCAGAGCTGGTTGCGCTAGTCGACATAGCGCCTATTGTGGTAGTCGTCCTGCTTGATGCATTGGAGAGAGGTTACAATGCCAATCTCCTGCCGCCACCACGAACATCGGGAAGAAGATGAGGTTTGTCGAACGATCGAGCAGTTGCATAGTCGCTCCCCAAAAACCTAATGGCCGCCCTTCACCCGAGCAGGTGGACACAAAGATGACTTGATTTCGGAGGTCTGCTCTCCCTATTCTCGTTCTCGTAAGAACCGGGACGGGAAGACTTGATCGCAACAAAAGCAGTGGATTTGTTTGTTCGTGAGACCAAAAGGAGATGAATGTTGAAGCGAGTCTTGCTTTTTATCTTGCAGCCTGGAAATTAACCAAACGGGCACATGAGCCACAGCCGCAGAAGGTTAGGGGCCAGGAGGGGAGAGGACACAATGGGAGGAGACGCTACCGAGAAACTCCCGTAACTTTTCTCATTACTTTCCTCGTTAGGGCCAGAAACTCCTGTAACACTTCTCATTACTTTCCTCATTAGGGGCAGAAACTCTTGTCATCATGAGTTGAAACTCATGTGACTCTCCTTATTACTTTCCTCATTAGGGGCAGAAACTCTCATCATCACAAGTTGAAACTCCCATAACTCCGCAACTCCTGGTCGGCCATAATTAACACCCAAAAATTGGCTTGAGTGGCAAAACCAACTCATGCGCCACACCACGGCTGTGTCAGGCTCGAGCTCGGTTATACCACGCCATGCCACGCCTCTTCTCAACTTCTCAACGTAGACGGACACAACCCGCACATATAAGTCGAGTCAATATCCAAAGAATATCCCGTATGAGACTAAATAATATTGCACACATTATTTAATACGGCCCTTATATTTTTTATTTGATTTAATTAGATAATATATGGGCCTTAGATTTTTTATTTGATTTAATTAGATAACATATCATACAATCTCATCACTATGATCATCTGAAGGGAAAACTATACCAATGTACCTTCCATCATAAACTTTATCGTCATGATTGTAAACGAAATTTCCAAATGATCCTACAAAGAATATATAGTATCACGGTACTACTATAGTTTGATAGTACATAATAATTGATATAAATAGGTTTTTTCATTCAATGTACTAAAATGTTGTCTAAAGCTAAACAGCATTGAACATAATGTCGTCTTACATGATTATGTGGGACCTAGTTTAGAAAGCACATATTATTTGTGCTATTGGGACAAAGGGAAAATATATAAGTAACAAATAGAAAAAAATTGTAAATGTAAATATGAAATAGGGAAAAATTAAATATGATAAAATTTAAAAAGAAATGAGGATTAAAAATATCTATACATCTAAAATCTAAAAATAAATAATTACCAAGCTGTGCTTCCCGCACGTCGCTTGGCGAGGTGGTACTAAGTCGCAACGCACGAACAAAGCAAGCGCTCCGATGCAGACTAATGGGCCGGCCCCCAGTAGAAGAGCATAATCCTTTCACCAATCCTTGATCGTCGCTCCTCGCTCGAGTCGTGACTCACGAGAACCTGACGGCGCGGAGCTGCCCCCAATCCGCCTAGCGCCCTCCGGTGCCTCCACGGCCCTGCCGGCCGTCCTGAAGTCCACTAGCTAACACTAGTCATGCTGCAACACCCTTCGCGGGTTCCTCGGATCGACACCGCCATCACCTCGCGCCACCCAAAGGAGAAGAGGAGGATCAATTGGAGGCTTCCTTGCTGTGGCACCCTTGTCATTGAATAGCCGACGCTTCTCCTGTACCCCCTCCACGCTGCGACATTGAAGAGACAGCTACAAAAGATCCAGGTTTACCCTCACTCCCATTTGTTCAGGATGTTTTGGTGGTAGGATTGAATGGCTGAACAATGCAATTTTCAAAACATAGTACCGTGATTTTATATGCCACATATTAGTTTTTTTATTAAGTCCACTTTTGGCCCCTTAACTATTAGGTTAGTCTAATTTTGACCCTCAACTATAAAACCGCCTAATGCTGGTACCCAAACTGTCAAAACCGTTCATTTTTAGCACCTGAGCGCGAGCGAGGCTGTTTTGATCGACGTGGAGCAGGTTTGACCACACCACGCTGGCATTGACTGCCACATAGGACATCGGCCTTCATCTTAGTGACATATAGGGCCCACATGTCAATCACTCATCCTCTCCTCTCCTTTTCCTCTTTAGCCACCACTGCTGATGGCCTCCACCCTGCCGATGCCCGCCGTGGCGTCGTCGCTGGTGGACACCCTCTTCCAGCGCTCCCTAAACAACCTCATCAAGTCCCTCCGCATTGACCCGTCAACCGCCGGTGAGGCCACGGCCGTCGCCCACGTGCTCTCCGAGATCCACCGCGAGATCCGCGCCCCCAACACCGCCACAAAGTCCGTCGCGCTGCAGAAGCTCACCTACCTCTCCTTGCTCCACTTCACCCCCATCGGCTCCCACCCACTCACCTTCATCACCATCGAGCTCCTCGCCTCACCGCACCTAGCCCACAAGCGCCTAGCCTACCTCGCCGCGTCCCTCTCGCTCCACCCGGCCTCGCTCTCGCTGCTCTCGTTCGCCATGCACCAGCTCCACAAGGACATCTCCCCCTCTGCCTCCCCATCCGCTGGCGTCGCCCACCAGCAGCACGTCTCTGTGCTCGAGCTCTAGCTCCTCGCCTCGCCTGCCACGGCCGCCGTAGCCGACCTCCCCGTCCACCTCGCGCACAACCTCGTGCCACACCTCGCCCGCGGCAGCCCCCGCGCCATCGCCGCCGCCACGCGCATCATAGCCGCCTCGCCGTCCGTGGTCATGCCGGTCCTCTTCAAGCCACTGGCGGTGTCTCGCCTCTCCTGATCCTCGCGCGTCCACGTGGCTGCTCACTACACTGTTAGCACATGATGCCGCAGTCCGCCTTGCCATTGGGAAAGCCAAGGCTTGTGCCCCCTATGTGGCTTCATGCCGGATGCCTGTGCGGGCTACGACGTCGGCGTCGCTTGGGCTAGAGGCAGCGTGGGGGCGCTGCCGTGAGGATGGAGAGGGAGGGGATGAGAGGGTGATGCATGGGCCCCACATGTCACTGAGATGGATGTTGGCGTCCTACGTGGTGGTCAACGCCAACGTGGCGTGGTCAACCCGCTCCACGTTGAATAAAACAGCCCCGCCCGCGCCTAGGTGCTAAAAGTAAACGGTCTTGACACTTGGGGTACCGGCATTAGACGGTTTTGTAGTTGAGGGTCAAAATTAGACGAACCCGATAGTTGAAGGGCCAAAAGTGGACTTAATCCTAGTTTTTTTGGGATGATTGTCAAATTGTGGGTGTGGTATGTTTTTGCAGCATGGTTAATACGTATGCGAATGTGGACCATATTATATAAAGTAATCACATTCTATACTAAAATACTGTCAAACTTTTTGAAGATTAGCTCTAATTTTTTTTAAAAAAAAAAGATAGATTCAGCAACCATATAATATCGTCAAATAAGAAAATGATCTAGAAAAGAGAAATTATAGAAAACCTGATATATGCGACTCAGATATCTCTTAACTGACTTTACAAAAATAAAAAGGCTAAAATTATATTACTAACTGTCATATAAATTAATTTAAAAACATGAGCTTCTCTACTTAAACTAGGATAGTTTATACCCAAACTGAACTATAACTGCAAACATACTAGTGTATAACTGGAAACATAGCACTAGCTTCTCTACAGATACAAGTGCTCTCTAGCTAATGGTCACTGTAAATTAAGAGGCATCAGTATATCGCCTATATTTAGATTAATGGTGTCACTGTCACTCTAGCTAATGGTTGCTTATGATAACAAGCATTATCTCCAATGTCTAAATTAATAACTTTTTTTTGCTGATGTCTTATGATTATCATTGTAGCCGACTAGAAAATTTCCTATTGATTTTTTAAATTGTACAGTTTGTTAATTGCAAGAACATCTATTTATTCTATGGCTTCGTGGTCATTGCAGGCAGTAGTACTTTGGACAGATTGTGTTGTTCTTGATTTTTGATAGTGTGAAGAATGTCAGATGAAGATAGGAGGTGGATGCGCATGTCCAGATTTACTTCTGAATGGCAAAAGGATCCAAGAACTATATTCATAGTATATTTGGAGGCACATCTGAAGAAGAAACTGCTCCATGTCCATGTACTCGATGTCGTTGCATGTCTTATCGAACTCAAAAAGAGGTTCGAACTCACGTGGCACTGAGAGGGTTTGATGAGAGTTTCATCCAAGGAGAAGGTAATGGTCCGCCTTTATTAGTTGAGAAGGACAACGCTGATGAAGACGCGAGAGATCATGCGGATGGTTCCCACGAGCTGATTTCTTCACTGATCAGCGGTGTTGTACATGGAGAAGTCATAGGAAATGATGAGGAAGACCCAAATGAGAGTGGAAAGAAACTTTATCGGTTACTAGAAGAGGCAAAGAAGGAATTGTATCCAGGTTGCAAGGAGGTTACAAAGGTTTCTTTCATTGTCATGCTATTTCAGATTAAGTGCATGGATGGTCTTAGTAACAACTGCTTGGAACGCATACTTCGCCTGTTCTTGCTTGTTCTCCCTGATGGTCATTGCCTCCCAACATCCTTGGACAAAGTGCGTAAGGTTGTTCGAGATCTTGGCCTCGATTACCAAAAGATTCATGCATGTGTGAATGACTGTGTTGTTTCATGGGGATTATGCTGAAAGGGATAACTGTCCAACATGTGGTGAGTCTAGGTGGAAAGAGTCCGGGGGTACTGAAAAGGATGGTCCTGTTGTCACTGTCGGTGGATAGAAGCGTTTTCCACGTAAGATCCTTCGTTATTTTCCACTTATTCCTCATTTGCAAAGATTGTACATGAGAGCATCAACATCTTCACTGATGCATTGGCATAAGGAAGAACTGGTGCATGATGGGAAAATGTGTCACCCTGCAGACTCGTTGGCATGGCAGCATGTGAATAGCGAGTTTAAGGATTTTGCATCGGACCCTCGCAATGTAAGGCTCGGTCTTGTAGCTGATGGCTTCGATCCATTTGGGATGCTTGTAACACCCAAAAATTTTCATTCTTTTAAAATAAGTAAATTTGATTCAATTATGTTATTAAGTGTGCATTCAAATATAGGAAATTAATAATTTTTGGGAAATTAAATTCAAATATAAGGAATAGAAACATGTTGATGCATACATGCTGCTGCATATTTATTTTGTGATGATTTGTCTTGATTCAAAGTTCAAATGAATTCAAAATATATTTGAAAGTGCTTTTGGAAAATCTATTTGGAAAAAGAAAAGGAAAATTTATTTTCTCCCCTCCCTTCTTCATTTTCGGCCCACAGGCCTTTTCTCCCCGCTGGCCCAGCTCCCCTTTTCTCCTCCCTTGCGCACCGCGCCAGCCCAGCAAGGCGCCGGCCCACTCGGGCGGGCTGGCAACCGCATCGGCCCAGCTTGGGCGCAACCGCCGCCGCGCCTCCCTTTCCCCAGCCGCTGACGCCCGGCCCCCGCCTGTCAGCTCCTCCCCCTTCCTCCCGCGTGACTCGGAACCGCCCGCGCCTGGCGCAGCCGCAACCGCCGCCCACGTCCTCGATTGTGGGAGCGTCACCCGCGCCCCTGCCTCTACAAAATGAAACCGAGACCCCCCGCACGCCCCCTGCTGCTCCCCGCTCCATTTTCGCCCTCGCTCACGCCTCGGAGGCCGCAACCGCCGCATGGAGAAGCTCCGCCGACCGCCGTCCGCCGTCCGCGTCGCCCGACTTCCCCGAGCCGTCTTCGACCCTGATTTTCCCCGCTGTGAGCCTCCCATGCTCCCCTCTCTCCTCTACCTTTTTCTTTGGTGTTTGGTGGCTTCTAGCGCCTTAACCGCGAGCGCCGATAGCTCTCCGGCCACTGTCCATGGCGACCGCCGCCACGGCCGCACCCTCCGGCCAATTTCTCGGCTTGAACGTGTTCGCCTGCTCCCCCTCTCTCATCACGTGGCTTCGGGTCATCGAATCGCGAACCAAAGCCCCCTAACCGAGCTCGCCGGTGAGTCTTCGCCGTCGGCCATGGCGCCTGGCCGCCTGGAGCTACTGTTTTGGCCACCCCTTTTTCTCTCTCCCCCAGATTTGATTCTAGCCGTCCATTTTCAGATTTGCGGCCAGGATTAGAAGTTACCCTTTCGCGTGTAAATATGCTAAAGAGTCCCTCGGTTTCGGATGAATAGAACCCGCAGTCCAAAGCTCATTTCCCCAAGTACGCATTCTCGTTTTGAAAGCGTAAAGTTCACTGCTTTAGTCTAAAATACGTTTTCAGTATTTACAGAAATGCCATTTGAACTGTTTTGCTTATAAAATCATCGTTTTAGCTCCGAATTGATCCGTTCAAATCGCGTTAGCTTCGTAATTCCATAATCTACATGTTAGAACCACTGTTAGTCAAGTTTAGAACTTTCTAATTTCATGGTTAGATTTAATTAAATATATTGCTATAGAAAATCCTGTTTTAATCATAACTCTCGTATTTTAGCTCCGTTTTTCGTGAACTTCGCGTTGACGTGATCGTAGCGAGACATAGGTTATTTTCACAAACATTTTATCTTGTTTTCTATACTGTTGGTGTACTGTTCTAATGATAGGAATGTTTGCTTTGCATGAATGCTTTTAGAATGTTGTATGTTGCCGTGTTGGTCGCGTTCAGACGGTGAGGAGAACGTTGGAGACCAAGAATTCTTCGACGACCAGCAGGATCAGCAAGAGTTTATGAACCAAGGCAAGTATAGCATGGGCCTACCTTGATGTCCTATTTCACTTTAATCAATTACTCATGTGCATGTGTCTAATTTTGATAACCCTAAGGACATTCTAGACATTTGATGACTTGTTCCCTTGACTCCTATTGGGTAATTGCATATGGGTAGATTGCTAGTGCTCTAACTGAACATGATCTACATGATGATGAATGAATCTATGGAACTAAAAGTATAACATGATTTATAACAATTGTTCCATAGGGCAAAGGTGCAAATGACTATTGATCATGTTGCACCCGACCCTCCATAAGGACTTATCTATCGGCAAAAGTTGGGACTGACAGTGCAACCGTGGGAGTCATATGGCTCTGACTTTAGCTCAGTAATAGGACCTTTTCTAGCTAGTTAGAGGTTACCTTTTTGGCGCAAATAGGGCTTGCCACGTTGGGTATAGGGCTGCCTTTGTTCCTATGTGTATAGCCACGATGGATATGTGCCATAGGAAAGGGGGTTCCTACATCTGCCTGCCAAGGAAACCTAGTGGCCCTAACTTGTTAGAGAAACCTATGAAATGGCTTCATAGTGTACCCTGCCCGCTCACCTTGGCAGTGACATGGGAGTAATTAACCCGGGCATATGGGAATCACGACTCGCGGTGAATGTGCACCACCTCTGTAGAGGGTAACAAACTGTTATAACAGCCGTGCTTACGGTCACGAGCGGCCCGAAAAACTCACAGAATAACTGGTTACTCGTTGTTGATCATTTAAGTTGTTCTATGATGATATATGGTACACTTGACCCTGATATATGTTCTTATGGGATTAAATGGGAGCTTAAGCATAATTTGATAATATCTGATAATAAAAGCTTGTCGTACTAAAAATGCTAACTACAGTAAACCAGTGTCAACCTTTTGAGCTTCATAACCCCATGTTAA